GCTACGTGTGCGTGTTCTTTAGATCCTCAGATGGCTCCAGCACTTTCGTGACCACGGGCCGAGAGTCTTTGCTAGATTTTGGCATTTAGCAACTGGCATACGGTTTAATGTGAAGTCAACAACAACAACATAGTATTCGTCGGCGGCAGTTACAGCGGGATTTGTTGGCGATAATTGTCTGCCCACCAGATGGAAAGTCTTTCTGATCCCCCTTGTGCCTGTCCTAGAGCGGATCGTTCACTCGCTATCCACTGCTCGGTTTGTACCTTTTTCTTGATATATATATATATATTTATTTTTTTTTTCCCGGCTGAACCGAACCGGATGTCTTTGCTTCGCGCTGGTCGAGTGAGCCTGCGAAAATCATCTTTACCCACAGCCCCCCTCCAGAAAATCCCTTGCTATACTCCCCCCCGCCCCTCTTTTGCCTCCCATTGCACTGCTTATTCCCACAGGCAGGGGGGTGGTCGAGGCAGCGGGAGCGGGCGCGGACGACAAGCGAGAGAAGAAGGCCCGGCAGAAGCGGGCCAAGCAGAGGCAGGCCGTGGAAAGCCTCGGGGGGCGAGCTGCCTACTCGGCCATCGCCGAAGCGTTGGGGGACCGGGCGGAGAAGCGGAGACAGTGGGCGGAGCGAGAAAAGGACAAGGTGAGTAGCGATCGTAGATGAAATCACGCACCCTGGATCGATTTCACAGCTCCATTATTCCACAACTGAGAGGGTGCATCTATAAAACTCAACCGAGGCGTTGCCGACGCCGCTTCTTTCGCCACCGCCACTCGTTCTGCTTGTGGAGAAACTGACCTTTGAAAATGTTTTGCACATATCACCAAGGGTGTCTGTGGATTTGATTTGATCGTTGGTTGGGGGCAGGGGCGGGTGCATGAACTGCCGAACCGCAGGCGGCAGGCCGTATTCGACCGTAAGTTTTTCGAAGACGCCGTTCGCTGATGGTTTGTTTTCGAGCAACGTGTTCGCGTGTGCAAGATGGTGCGTACATTTCTCTGAGTCAGTTTTGTTTTTGTTGTTCGCCAGCAAACAATCTCTCACGGGCGCTCACCCGAACCGCCCTCCACCGCCTTCGCCCGTCTCCCCGGCATTTTTTTTTTCTGGAGGTGTTCGAGCGGCTCTCGGCCGACTCCCGGCCCATGCCCTGTCCCCTCTCCCCTTCCTTCTCCTCTGCCAACAGGGCCCTTTCGACCCCGCTCCCTCGTACCCCGGAGGCCCTGAGCGCTCTGGCCGACGCGGTGCTTGAGTGGGGGAAGATATTCTCCGGGGAAGATGGTGTTCGAGGCGGTGGAATCGTGGCGGCGGAGGAGGCGGGGGTGGGCGAGGGTGGACGAAGCGTGTCCGGTGACTGCGGTGAGAACGAGAGCGGAGGAACCGGCGAGAAACCGGCGGGGGTGGCGGACTCCGGGGTGGCGGACTCCGGCGCCGGCGTGCACAATGACCCAGACGGCCAAGAACCCTGCGAGAGCAGGACCAGCGGCGGCAGCCTTCCTTCGCCGGTGCCAACATCCCCAGCCGGCGCCGAGAGCGCCCGTCACGCTCCTCCCACCCCCTGGGAGACCGGTCGCTTTGCGCTGGAGGTGCAGGCGCCGTGGTCACGCCGCCTCCTCGACGGGGAGAAGACGGTAGAGACGCGGGGGTACCCGCTTCCGGCGGGCCTGGTCGGCCGCTCGATCGAGGTCCTCGAGTCCGGGCGAGGCTTGGACGGGGTTTCCGGCGTCGGTGACGTCGTGGAGGCGTTCTCTGCCGGTCTTTCGGTCGTCGGGCGCGTGGTGTTCGGCGGCACGGAGGCGTACCCGAGCCGGGAGGCGTGGGCGGCGGACGCGGACCGGCACCTGGTGCCGGTGCCGGCGGAGGAGGGAGGGTCCGAGAGCGGCAAGGGGTACGGGTGGAAGGGTCCCGGGAGCGTGCACGCCTGGAAGGTGGCGAGCGTCGAGGCGTACCCGAAGCCTCGGGCCGTTAGGAGGATGGGGCGCGTCTTCCGCTCGCTGTTTTTGGTGGAGCAGCCCAATGGGAAGCAATCCGCTGGTGGTGTTGGCGGCGGCGGTGGCGGTAATGACAACGGCGCGAAGCCGGAGGGAAGCGCAGGGGCCGGGGCTGCGGACGACCGCCCTGAGATCGGCGGTGACGAAGGCAAGAGAAAGAGGAAGCCGAAGAAGAAGCGGAAACGGAAGGGTCCGTCGGCCGGCGGGGTCCTTGGGGCCGCTGATGCGGCACCAGGGACTGCTGTTAGCGAGACTGGCAAGCTTTTTTCTGCCACTTCGGCCGCTTTTGAAACTCCGAATGCCACCGCTGCCACTTCAGCTACCGCCGTGTCTCCCCCGCGGGAGGCGAAGGGAGGAAGTGCCGAGAAGGCCAAGACGAAACGGCCCAGGTACGCGGCCAACGGCCAACAAGAAACCGTTTCTGGGGAAGGCAACGTGTTCGATGGGGCGGCGAGTGGGGGGGAGGAATCGCTCTCGAACGGTAGCGAATCCGTTCAAGACGATGGCGGGGTCGGCGGCGGCGGGGGCGACGGTGGCAGCGGGGTAGAAGGTAGCAGGAGTGGTCGTGGGGGGAAGGGAAAGAGAAGAAGGAGTGGAAACGGTTCGGAGCAGCAGAAGGGGTTGACACGGAAAGGCGGGGAGGAAGATATGGGGGACGAAGGGGTTGTCGCTCTTGCTGCCGCGGCTGCGGCGGCGCGAAGCGCCGGGGGCGGGTTTGATGTAGTGGTTGGTGATGGGTGGGGCGCAGCAGACGCTCCTGCCGTGAAGCCGGGGGACGGAGAAATGCGCAATAGGAAAAAGAGGAAAAAGAAGCGATACTGACTTACGGTCGGAAGTACAATTTTTGGGAAAGGAGGGACGTGCAATGACGCAGCGTGCTGAGAGATTTGNCTCCTGCCGTGAAGCCGGGGGACGGAGAAATGCGCAATAGGAAAAAGAGGAAAAAGAAGCGATACTGACTTACGGTCGGAAGTACAATTTTTGGGAAAGGAGGGACGTGCAATGACGCAGCGTGCTGAGAGATTTGTAACGAGTTTCGAACTACTTGAGTGGTGCTTGCTGTAGTGCTTGTGCATCTTACCTTTGTTGCTTTCATCACGGAGGATTTGACCGTCCGCTTGTTCACGGCTATGAATGGCAATGCGCCGGCTCTTGGCCGGAGTTCTTGCAGTAGTTACTGTTGGGATCCATGGACGGTACCCAAGTTCCTTCGTTCGATACACTGTTGAGTGTGAACTTCTGGGCCGCCAAGGTTCTTGTTGTGAATGTGGGTCTTGGCACGGATCGGCTACTGTACGTCGCACAGGCCGGGGTACTGGCACAGGCCGTGCGGAAAAAAGTCGGGTTCCAAGGAATTTAATTGATTATCGTACAGGTATCGTTCACGTCGAACAGGGGTGCGCGTAGACCCCGGTTGGGCGAAACCACGAGTGATATCCAGCCTTTATCGCGTGCTACTACCGGACCAAGGTAGCTTGAATGTTGGGCTCCATTACTTTGGAATAGTAACCGCCATGCTCAACATGGTTATTATTGACGGAATCGGCAAAAAGGTTTCTACTCGATCAACCAAGAACGCGTACAAACCACACGACACCAAACGACCACAACCAACCACGGTACTATGAAAAAAGGGAAACGGACAAAAGTGGGTATACCCACGCCATTCTCAGACAAAGTCGGCACTCGAAGATTCAGCACGCGCGCCCTCCATAGGCGACCCCCGAACGACTCAAAACCCCATTCTGACACAGCCAGGGGCCATTCACAGCACGGACATCGAGTTTTTCTCACTTTCAGGCACACCTTTGGCCCTAATACCGCCGAGGCGCGCAAGGCCTCACCAGAGTGCCCACGTCTGTCCGACATCGTGGTGGGTATACCCAGCGGCGTCTACTAATTTTCATGTACCGTACACTACGGAGTTTTCCCCCCGTAGTACAGATTTCCTTCCCCCCCTTTACCTTGTCGGCCTGGAAGCATGGTACGTTGATTTAGCCCCGGGGTAGATCGTTTTCGACCAAAAATATAATATCCCCCCGGGTATTTCAATTTCCCCCCGGGGTACCAGTTTCCCACGAGTTCCCCCCGGAGGGGGGGGTGTACACATAGTCGTGCATGTCGTCGTTAGACCATTGACCTCGCATCCCTACAAAGCCGGGACGGAGCACGCCGGGTTCTCACCGGACCAGGCTCTCACATCACCAAGCGCGAAGCGCCGTGAGCTATTCGAAGAGTCGCATAAAGGGTGCGCTGCATCCTGCTCAAGGTGCTCGGCATCTTGTGCTTGCTTCCTTGCATACGGATGACAGCTCCATATGTCTTTGTTTATTTTCTGGTTCTTTAACTTCCAGAGGCAGTTGTAACCACTACTGTGTAACTGCCTCGAGGGTGTTTGACCATTTTAACACAACGTGGTGCGATCATCCCCCTTGCGCGGAGTGAGGGTTCTCCACCCCGCACAACATGATCTACTCGACCATCATTATGGTAACCGCCGAAAAAAAAACAGGTGAAAAAAACAACGGTAACCTGGTTGCCGAGTTCACGAAGCGCATTGGCTTGTTTTACAACCCAACCCCGATGTAAAACACCGGGGGGGGGAGGCCCCCGAGGGGGATGTATTTCCCTTATTTTCTGAGTCGATTTTGTTGCATCGCGGAGCACAAAAGCATGATATGGGACGGGAAATTCATCTGCAGATCTCCGCTTCGAGCGAGATTAGGCAGTAGTCTTCACGGGCCAAAAAAATTGGCACTACAAACGTATGGGCTACAATATAGAAATGTATTAGCAGTCTAGCCATTCACCGACGCCCCTGAAGACCGACGGCACACGGGACTGTGTCTGTGTTCGCATGCTCTACGCTCGAACACACAGGCACACAGGAGCACCGGAGTGCTCTACGCCGCCGATGCATAGAAACCACCGTAGCGCCGAACTTGCGTCTAGCATTTCCAATGTAGCACAGCAGCCAGGATCCAGTGAAGCATCAGCAACTCCTCTGTCTGCTCCAAGAACAACACCGCGCGGTGTGGGACTCGTGCAAGGAGGGACGGTCAACCACCGTAGCGCCGAACTTGTGCCTAGCTCCAGTCGGCCAGTTTACAGCAGCGAGGGCCCAGTGAAGCATCAGCACCTCCTCTGCCTGCTCCATTGACGACAGCGAGCGGTGTGGGATTCGTGCAAGGAGGGATGGTCCACCACCGTAGCGCCGAACTTGTGTTTGGCACTCTGGCCAATGTAGCACAGCAGCCAGGATCCAGCGAAGCATCAGCAACTCCTCTGCCCGCTCCAAGAACAACAGCGAGCGGTGTGGGACTCGTGCGAGGAGGAACGGTCAACCACCGTAGCACTGAACTATCTAGTACTGCCAGTTTAGTACAGCAGCCAGGATCTAGTGAAGCATCAGCACCTCCTCTGCCTGCTCCATTGACGACAGCGAGCGGTGTGGGATTCGTGCAAGGAGGGATGGTCCACCACCGTAGCGCCGAACTTGTGTTTGGCACTCTGGCCAATGTAGCACAGCAGCCAGGATCCAGCGAAGCATCAGCAACTCCTCTGCCCGCTCCAAGAACAACAGCGAGCGGTGTGGGACTCGTGCGAGGAGGAACGGTCAACCACCGTAGCACTGAACTATCTAGTACTGCCAGTTTAGTACAGCAGCCAGGATCTAGTGAAGCATCAGCACCTCCTCTACCTGCTCCAAGAACTACAGCGAGCGGTGTGGGACTCATTCAGCAGGACACGCTATCTGCTCTGTCTTGCGCAGCTTGGGGTCCAGGTCCTGTGGGGGAAGGTATCGAAGAGAGTGGGTCTGCTGTGAGCACTCCCTGAGCGGTAGTTACGGCAGTGGTGTCGGCGTCAGCGTCGGCGGTAACGTTCTTGGGTGGGGCGGTAGCCAAGCAGGGGGGGCTGGTCCCGCTGCTGTAGTGAGCGGCCGCGCGAAGGGTGGTGTCGGCGGCCGAGTCCCTGTGCGGAGCGGTGTGCAACCCTCACCAGGAACGGGAGTTGGTGCCCTTAACGCCAACGGCGGCAGAGGAGGTGGCAGACCTGCGCGCACTCTGAGCGGTGGTAGAGGTGGTGGTGCCGGCGTCGGCGGCCAACGCCCTGGGCGGGGCGGTAGCCAAGCAGGGGGGGCTGGTCCCGCTGCACCAGCGAATGGCCGCGGGAGAGGCGGTGTGCAACCCTCACCAGGAACGGGAGTTGGTGCCGTTAATGCCAGCGGTGGCAGAGGAGTCGGCAGACCTGCGCGGACAAGGACCACACTAAACCGTCGGTGCTCCGCGTGTGGTGCATTGCCTTCATACGGAAACCAGAAAAAGAGACTCTGCCTGGAGGATAGGTGCCCGCGATGGGCGTGTAGGGCGCGCTGCAACCACGGGTTCAACGAGGATCTCCAACTGAAGTGCTGCGAGTGTCACAAAAGCATCAAGACGTGGTGCGAGTGCAAAAGGTGAGCCTGTTCCCTTTTTTTGTCATCTATCGTCTCCCCCTTTCGAGCAGGTCGGTCTTCCCTTCTTGCGTCATGTTTTCGCCGCGACCNAACCACGGGTTCAACGAGGATCTCCAACTGAAGTGCTGCGAGTGTCACAAAAGCATCAAGACGTGGTGCGAGTGCAAAAGGTGAGCCTGTTCCCTTTTTTTGTCATCTATCGTCTCCCCCTTTCGAGCAGGTCGGTCTTCCCTTCTTGCGTCATGTTTTCGCCGCGACCTAGAGATGAAGATTGAGGTTATGGGTTTGACCCCCAAAACCCTCGCAAACCTGGGCACGGGACACGTTGCCTATGTAGGCCTCTCGCTCGCAACGTGTGTCTCGAAAGTATATCCGACCTCCCAATTGCCTACAATTGTCACCGTTGCGACGTTCCATCTAACCAGCTGCTCAAGGAACACGGGCGGTGCCACCAGCCAACCGGGTATCAAGGGGTACGGGTTTGGTCGCCGGATTAGGGGCGGTAGAGGACGAGGAGCCCCGCGGCATGTACCCGTGAGCGTGATTCGCTTGCCTGCAGCTATAGTGCTGAAAACACCACGCTGTCGGTATGCATCGCTGCGAACCAGAACCGGGTAGTGACGACTGTGCCACAGAATCCTGCGCCAACAGCGACGAACCCGAAGCCTTCACCGCGGAGCAGCTGCTCTAGGTTAGAGTGCCACACGTGAGCGAACCATGAGATACAGGGTGTGCCCAGTGTTCGCTTGCTGTTATTTGTTGTTGGTGGGGTCATGCGAAATGGTGCACGAGGCACCAGGTCGAAGCTCCTTGAAGTATTGGCCGGCCCTAATATGGCTGTCTTCAGATGAGTTTCCTTTTGTCCAAGGTGTTGCTGAATTGTCGTCGTTACTGAATTGTCGTCGCATGTTTACTCGTCTTGTTCGTTTCTCAGGATGCTTCTTCATCAGCGATCGGTTAGCCAAACAGCGGGGGCCAACGCTGGCGTTCAGAGTGCTACGGGGGCCATTTGCGAGCACGCCGCTGCGTCGTTGGAGGCGCTTGACAAGAACACGGTGGTGGACGCGACGCCTATCTTTTTCAACGGCATCAACGGATGTCCGTACGCGGGTTTGACCGCGTGTATCTCGCAAGCCCGAGCTAAAGCGTTCTTGTCGGAAGTCGAAGAAACGTTGTTGGTGGGGATGGTGGCGGAGGCAAAAGACATCGGCGTGTACCCAGTCGTCCAACTAGGCGAGTGGGGATACGCCGTGAGCGAGAGGCGAAGTAGAACTTTCGAACTAGACTGGGCCCATGTGAAGTACGACAAGGGTGGCGGCAAGGGCAAGGGCAAGGGCAAGGGCGCGTTGAGGAGGATCACTGCTGCCCGGGCTTGATGTGCAAGGTGAGGATATGTGCGCTATACTGGGAAGCTTGCGACAGTTCTTGGAGTACGGAACGAATATGGAATACGTCGCTGTGTATTGCGCTGTGTGCGACTTAAATGCCATGCCGGCCGACTGGTGGTTTGTGCTATTTTTGGCCTTGGATATCTCGCATATTGAATATCTAGAAGTTTGAGGCCGAAAAGTGAGGTTTTCATGAGAATTGCGTGCTCGCACTTTGAGTGAGGGGTGGGTACTCTAGACTAGGTTCTGTTTACACCGTGTTTGTGGCTTCAGAGGAGTGTGTTCGCTAACGTGTATTGGCAGTCAAGTGGTGGACCATTCCAACGATACATCCTGCCGTCTTGGGTTTTCGAATGTGCCCGAAAATTGATTCACAATAATTATGTTACCGTAGTCGACGGTGACGTACCGGATGGACATAGCCTCTTAAATTGTGCTCGCCCGAGGGTATATACAAAGGTAGGTAAGGGTTATTTTTCCACGTGAATACGCCGGGGGTTGATCACCGCGGGAGAGAACAGAAAAACAGCCTCCCATTCACACACTCTGTGTTCCCGCAATGGAGAATANAATGGACATAGCCTCTTGAATTTTGCTCGCCCGAGGGTATATACAAAGGTAGGTAAGTTATTTTTCCACGTGAATACGCCGGGGGTTGATCACCGCGGGAGAGAACAGAAAAACAGCCTCCCATTCACACACTCTGTGTTCCCGCAATGGAGAATACGCGAGCGAGCGTTCGACGGATGACGGGTACCGTCCAAAAAGTGTATGTCCTCTGGGTGCGTCAGCACTGACGCATTGTGATGGTGAAGTGCTCGTGAAAGATCGTCCGAAGAAAAACGGGGGGAACTCACCGTAATGGCTGGAGCGTGTACTTACCCCGGGGGTAGATTTTAAGAGGGGAGGGGTGCACTCATAGTCGTGCATGCCGTAGTCGTTAGACCATTGACCTCGCATCCCTACAAAGCCGGGACGGAGCACGCCGGGTTCTCACCGGACCAGGCTCTCACATCACCAAGCGCGAAGCGCCGTGAGATATTCGGCGAGTCGCATGAAGGGTGCGCTGCATCCTGCTAAGGGTTTTCGGCATCTTGTGCTTACTTCCTTGCGTACGGATGACAGCTGCGTATGACTTAATTTAGCTTCTGGTGCTTTCACTTCCAGAGACAGCTGTAAGCACTGTGTAACTGTTTTGAGGATGCTTGACCATTTTAACACAACGTGGTAGGATCATCCCCCTTGCGCGGAGTGAGGGTTCTCCACCCCGCACAACATGATCTACTCGACCACCATTCTGGTTGCCGCCAAAAAAAACTGAGGTAAAAAAAACCCCCGGTAACTTGGTTGCCGAGTGCACGAAGTGGACTGGCTTGCTTTACAACGTCGTTGTCAAGCGACGAGAACCCAATCCCGATGGCAAACACCGAGGGGGGGGTCTAGAAAAACGAGCACCCCCGAGGGTACGACAGCGTTTTGACAGCTTTTTGCCGAAATGAGGGGGGGGGGAGTACGACATTGTGCTCACATTGTGGGGGGGGTAAGCATCGTCGATTGCACTATTCTCAAGGTACCGCCGATTGATACCTTGTCCAATCTTATGGCCCTCTGCGAAATACGTTTGCACCAACGTCATATGCATACGTCGCACATGTACCCGGCACAGGCAAACCGGGGGGGACCCTGTAGCGAGTACGAGAAGAAGGACCGAAAGTGTCTTCACACGTTGGTGGTCGCCCTTGCCCTTTGGCAAGAGGAGGGTATGCGAGATGAAGGGTTGGGTGTCGGGCAGGTAGACATGGATGGAGGTAGAATTCCAGACGGAACGCCGCGCACGGCGCAAAAAATGCTCGACAAGGATGCACCGGCGTATCGCAAGGGCTTGGCAAACTGCCTGAACACCATGTCGGTCTACAAGTTCCCGGAGAACCTCCCTTTCGGCCTGGGACGTCGTGGTGCCACCACGAACGCAAACGCCAGCATCACTTACACTACATCTCAGAAGACATGTTCAGGGTGTGGTCGTGACTTCCATACGGAGAATCAGCATACCGTGGTTGCAACTCGGTTGACAGAGGTGAGTGCAGCATCTCTGTGGGAACTTGTGGCAGTACCCTGCTCAGCATGCGGCTCGCCTTGTGGGTATGAGCGAAGTCGACAGCGTGTGTGCCGGAGGCAAACGTTTTAGATGCCCCCACCCTCATCCACTCCTGGGCAGGCTGCATTGTTGTATCTATTGTTGTGGCAGTACTTGTGGCAGCATTCATGCTGTTGGCGCCGGCCGTCGAGTACCATGTTTGATGGCAGCGGAAATCAGAGAAAATAGGGTGGGCACCCCCACGTCTTGTTTGTGGGTGTCGACAGGCCGTGCACACTCTCCCGCATGCTCATAAAAGAGGGGTGAATCGGTGGCAATCGCCCGACCTTCCCCAAAATCCTGGAGTCGCCATCCTGAACGAAACCGCTGGTGATCATGCGAGATTTACCCGCCGAGTACGATATATCGGTCTGCTGACAATATGCTATGTGTGTCTTGTTGCAGGGGCCAGGCATGTCGAAAGTGAACGTGCACACAAACGAGTGTGAGACGTGCGGTATCCACGGATTGGCCAGTGACAACTGGCGGGAGACTGGTTTGTTCAACTACAACAACAGCTATCTGGTGGAGCTGTCTGTCCTGTACAGATGCCTGGAGGCGTTCACCAGGGGTACGACTATAAGCGCCTTCTTCGAGACGTTTTTAGAACCTTTGGCGAGTGACCTGGTCTGGATCAAGGCGAACCCTGATCTCAGCAAAAGGTAAATGTAATGTTCCACCTTGCTCTATAAATGTGTCTGTCAAGGCCCACCTATTATAGTCATCCTTCTCACCAATCGCTGTTTAGCTGGCGGTGTAGCAAGCTACTGAGGCGTGTCTCGCAGCGAAAAATATGGCATGGTCGCATTGGATACCGAAACTACCAGGGGCTCCTCATTCCGCAAAAACTCAGATAATAATCGATCCTGTTTTCCACTTCGGTCTCCTTGTAAGCTGGCGATCTGAAGATCTTTCTCTTTCCCGAATTCTAGGCACCACCCATCGCACCATTTCCTCCGCGGGGATGCTAATTGTTACTTGAAGTAGAAAAAAAATCCGTAGTGCCCACTCTACTCTGCTAGCATGCGAAGCGGTTCGTTGTTGTCGAAAAATGTGTTAATATTGCATCGAGGGGGGGGGCTTGGTGCAGGCTTTTTTTCTTGTTGAAGTTTGAACAGAATGTGTATCGTGACAAACAACCGCATTTTGCCGACGATTTTTTCTTCGCGCATGACCTCCACGTCCAGGCTCGCAAACGGCACCAACTTGCTCAACGTGCTCAACAACATTTTCTTGGCGTTCCTGGCCCTCATCGACCACACTTTCGAGTTTCGGTGCTGGATGTGGGGGAAGTTTCCGCCGATCCTCACTTTCGACGCCTGCATGAAGATCGCCTGCAACTTCGTGACTCTGGGGCAGGTGATCGCGTCGAGACCCGAGCAAGACATCAACACTGACCTCGTCATGAATCTTCTGCAGTTGAGCATGGTATCGCCGGCCTGGTTCGGCGGCACGAGGGTACAGTTTGTTGTCGGGGCCGGGGAGACGGTTGGAAACGCGCCAGCGTGGGTGTCGCCAGACATCCGACTGTCGGAGATCTTCCACAAGACACAGCGTGGGGTGTTGCAGGGAAGCAACAACACCGCCTTCGTTGAGCAAGGCAATGGCGCTCTCCTTATCGAGAGGCTGGAGGGGAAGGCGATCGGTGACCAGTCCGGCATGGACGTGGCGACCCTGAAAGGCCACATGAAGGCCTGCTGGCCCGATGGAGGCGTTTCAAAGTGAGTGCAGAGTCACAGCATAGAGAACTAGAGTGATAAAGCGGTTGTGGTCTGCGGACTCAGCTACGTGTGTGTGTGTGTGCCTTCAAGAACAACTGAAGGCACGACCGTGTATGCATTGGCGCAAATTTGATCACTTGCTTTGGCTTGAAACCGTTTTTCGTTTTTCATGAGGCTGCCTCCTTTGGTTCTCTTTGTTCATCACCCTATCTCCGCATCCCCTATATCTCACGTCATTTATTTTTGTTGTTCGGGTGTCGAGCGGGGAGTTGTGTAGCAGAACAGCGACCGAAAATGTTTGGTCTGAGAAGCAATCCACTCTCCCTCCAATGCGTAGAGGTTGACCCTGGAAAATGCCCGAAAAATACCTGGATCGCTTCGTTGGCTAGCTATCCAGTTTATTCGATGTGCGAGTGGAGAGCATGCCCTCATGTGCTTACGAGTTATATTCCTCACAAACAGTACCCCTTGCGTTTTGTGGGCATTCTAAACCAGAGATGCGTTGTTTGCCCGTACAAGTCGCACGAGTTGAGACGCTGTTGATGTTATTTGGAACCATCAACCATTTCTTGGCGTGCGTCAGGTAGTAGGTGGCTGTTGATTGACGCGTGTTATCCGGCCATCGCAGTTTGGCTGCATTCCTCTTATGCCCTCATGCGTCGTGTGCCATATTTTCTCTTTTTGCTCGTAGGTTCTCTACCAAGGAGCCGATGGTGTCGTTTTGGGAATCAGATGGCAACCCCAACCGCGGGTCTTGCTCGAAGCATTTCGTGAGCCGAGAACGTGGCGTTTCAGAAGGGGTGATGGGTGTCTTCACGCGAGTATGGTCATGGTTATCCACAAGGTGCTGCTTACTGCGGAGGGCGCGGTGGACATGAGCGATTGCGTCGGGGCTTGCCAGGTGAGAGGGTGATTCTGTTGGCAATGCCTCTCCGTCGTGTTCAGTGGGAAACACATGCCGGCATCTACGTTGGCTTGCCTTGCCGAGAAAGACATCAAACGTTTAGTTCATATATGAATGCTCAGTGCGATGTAGGTTTGAGTCCTCTGGGGCACGCAGGATTTCCGCGGTTGTTACATGACTGGACCAAAGGATCTCGTGTTGGAGAGCGTAAGTGCATAAAGCACGAGAGAAATGCCCAAGAAGGAAAAATGTGCAACCCAACAAAGGAACGAATTTATCATCACTACGGATGGTACCTGAAAACAGTAGTCCCGCAAACCGAGGTTGCCCCGCCGCGCCCCCGGCGAAGGGCCGATAACAATACTTGAGGTATTGTTTACAATTTTCTTTCGTGGTGTATAGAGCCCACTTGAAGCAACCCGCATATGAAGGGCCCATCGTGTGCTACTAGTGTCTTCGTTTCACACACACTTTGAGCGGATTAGGTGGTCGAAACGTGCTACGTGTCCGTTTTGTGGCCATGACTCGGGTGTTCGCAAAATTAGATCTTAGCTCGCGCATTTGGGTACCCGGACGCAGACCTAGGTCCCCAGCGAGGCGCGCATGATGTATTGAGGAATAATAACCACCCCTCGAAAGTAAGGGCATGATCGCACCACGCTGTGTTAAAATGGTGAAACACCCTCGAGGCAGTTACACCGTGCTTACAGCTGTCTCTGGAAGTGAAACCACCAGAAACTAAATTAAGTCATACGCAGCTGTCATCCGTACGCAAGGAAGTAAGCACAAGATGCCGAACACCCTTAGCAAGTTGCAGCGCACCCTTCATGTGACTCGCCGAATACCTCACGACGTTTCGCGCTTGGTGATGTGAGAGCGTGCTTCGGTGAGAACCCGGCGTGCTCCGTCCCGGCTTTGTAGGGATGCGAGGTCAATGGTCTAACGACTACGGCATGCACGNGAGTAACGACAACGTCACGATGACGACGATGACGACACGCGAAATAGAAGATACAAAGAAGGTTCACACAGTGGGATTTCTTGCGAGGGAGTAAAGGAACGACGGAGAGCACGACACACTTGTCACTAAAGTAACTACCTGTCACCG